TTCGATATTGTAATTTGCTGTTAATGTTTTCGTTGCGACCTAACGCAAACGCAAACACTGCTAAGCTCCACAGAGTGTGGAGGCACAAAAAAATCAGTTAATATAGAAAATTTGAGTATCGGAGCCATTTGGTAGGTATGGTCTGTTCATAGATATAAGAAAGTGATCAATTGCTTTTGAATGGGATTATCCAAGGGTAGTCATTAACATACAATGCAACAACATTATTACCTAAAGTTTCCGAATTTAAATTCAGGTAAAATTGTGGTCCGTAATAGAAAATAATACTAATACCTACCTATGTTTAATATTCTTTGGTTTGGTATACTACTTAGTTTAAGTTTATTAGTAATCATTCTTATTTCGTGTGTAATACTGCGTGTGTTGAAGCGTGTGCGAATTATGCAAAATATACGCGAGTCTGCTGTATCTCAGGAGATGCTCCAGCCCAAATGCAGAAAACACTATTCTATTGAGACTAAGAAAGTTATAAACAATGTTTATTTGACTCTCATTGAACGTGGTGCCAGCCAGCAAGCATCTTTAACAGTTTTAAGGCTACCACCTTACCACTGTATATTTAATTCCACTGAACATGTTTGGCACCAACTGAAATCTGCCATTCGTCGTAACAATGTTTTTCCCCATGTTAACTCCAATGTCCTCAAACTTATAGAAACCGAAGTTTTTAACATCCCTCCACAAAGTTGGGCAAATTTTGTTAAACATATAGAAAAAGCAGAACAATCGTACATCCATATTGCAAATAATATAGAACAAATAATAATTAGAATAATTAGATGATAGCGTTAGCGATACTATTATATTATGTGAATAATTTTAAGTAATTTAAGTAGGTAATAAAAATAATTTGTAATTTTATTTTAGATTTAAACATAAATACATACATAAATAAATAAATATTGTTTAGTATGTTTCCTAACAAAACCCCAAATAAATAAATTCAAAGCAAAGTACGGACCTGTTCGGCCATATTTCATTCTTACAGCTTGCCCGAGTCTTACCTTAATTCGTATCCGTTAGTAACTTTCTTATATCTATGAACAGATTTTAACCATAATACCACCACCAATTAGAATCTGAAATATTTTTGAAACGCCACTGTATTTGTCTATTATCATATGAGATTTCTAACCTCAAAACATAAACAAAATTAGTCATGGAGCAATATATTACTGAACAACGTATAAAAATTGTGCAAGCCTATTATGAAAATGGTCGATCAAGAAAAAATGCATTTCGGGCTCTACGTGAATTTTTCGGCGCATAAAATCGACCTTCTGAGAGGGAATGTGGAATGTGGTTCAAAAATTTCAGCGATCTGGATCTGTAACTAACCTCAAAGTCCCTCAACGTGCTCGTGCAGGTCGGTCAGATCAAAATATTGCCATTGTTCACGAAAGTGTAGCCGAAGATCCAAATACATCGATTCGTCATCGATCGCAGCATGTGGGCAAGGTATTCAACCACACAGCGAATTTTAACAAAAGACTTGCATCAACACCCATATAAAGTCCAAATAACTCAGGAGTTGAAACCTCGAGTTCATCAACAGCGCCGCGTGTTTGCAGAATGGATACGAAAACAAGGGGTTCATTTTTCAACGAAAATCATCTTTAGCGATGAGGCACATTTTCACGTTGGTAGCTTTCTAAACAAACACAATGCTCGTATTTGGGGATTAGAAAATCCAAGAGAGATTGTTTAAAAAGCAATGCATCCTCAAAAAGTGACTGTTTGGTGCGCATTTTGGTGCGGATGAATAATTGGCCCTTTTTTTTCGAGGATAATCCGGAGAACGCTGTTACGGTTAATGGTGTTCGCTATCGAAACATGATATCTGATTTTTTCTGAGAGCAGTTGGAAGGTATGGACATTGCAGATTTGTGGTTCCAACAGGATGGAGCCACTTGTCACACATCCAGAGAAACGATGCAATTGCTGCGGGGCAAGTTTCCCGGTCGGATTATCTCACGGCGATATCAATTGGCCGCCGCGATCATGTGATGTTCCTCCCCTAGATTTTTTTTTTGGGGGTATCTAAAAAGCAGAGTGTATATAAATAAATCAAACACTATTCCAGAGCTGAAACAATACATTAGACGCGAACGGCATAGAGCCTGAATTATGTAAAAAAGTGATAGGAAATTTCAATAAACGAATTACGTCATGCCACATGACTTGCGGGGGTCATTTGAATGACACCATCTTATCCCTTAATACCCTAATCTAAAATGGCAAGTAAGAATGTTTGTATATTTTCATATTCTTCCTAGTTTTTTATTATTATTTTAATGTGGAAACCCTTATTGAATCACCCTTTATATTGCTGCATTTATTTAGAAAAAAAATTTGGTTCTCGACCATAAGAGGTTGTGATCATTTAAAAAAAAATAAGTACGAAACTCATCAAAACGTATTTTAATAACCATTGTTTTAGGTCAGCAATAGTATAATTTTCTAATAATAAAATATTGGTGACTTTAAAACCACGTATTCATTAATGGTATATTTTTATTAAGTGTGGTAAACGGCCTTTGAGTCACGAGTTGATTCGGCACGAGCGGAACGCAGCGTCTCCCGTCTGTAAAATACCTAATTACCCACCGATCTAGCGCGCAGGAAGCATCACTTTATCATGTCACTCGGACATTTCCGGGATTTTACCGCACGGGTTTGGGAGCAATCGGATATTTTCGGCGCTATTTCCCATGCCTTGAATTGTGGTGTTTGTCAATTCTGACAGTCATGTCAGTGAATGTATTCGTGTTTTGCGAAAATGTATCCAAAAACTAACGGTCCTATAAAAAGTTTAGTATGCAATACGTTCGCTAAACTTAGTTAGAACCCTGCCCAATAAGAATGAGCACTTAATAAATTTTGGAAGTAGATTTCAAGTGTTAAGGAGTGAAAATAAATAAGAACTAAAAGTTCAGAGTTTCACGCAATTATATATTTTGACATGACAATTGTTTCGATGACACCGTGTCTTTAGACATTTGATAAAGACACGGTGTTGTCGAAACAATTGTCATGTCAAAATATATAATTTCATGAAAATCTGAACTTTCAGTTCTTATTTATTTTGATAAATTGATTTTCATCAAGTAAAAGCTTGCTCAGTTCAAGTTAAGGAGTGATATTGCTTATTTTTTAATCATTATCTATAGTCAATGAGACATTACAAAATAAGGCTTAAAAATCGTATTCCTATGAGGTCGATATTAGATCGACTGGTTATTTTTGCGATATTGTCGATAACGACTCTTAGGACAAAATAATTATATACATATGGTCACATATTAGAACATTTACCGGATGCTGAAAATTTGATTTGTGTTGATTTGGAAAAACACATTTTTTATTTGTGCAAGAAAATACCAGTAAAAATTGACTAAAGCCAGGCGCAACAGAGATATTTTTCTAAAAACAAATTCCAGTTGGTTAGTAAACACCGATGAAATGTTGGTTAACGTACAGACATCCAAACCAACTCAAGTCGACAAACCATCTGCATGCAGAGGACCAAAGAAAAATTATAATGAGTGTTGTCGACGGTGACAACAAATAAAACTGTCACAAATCTCTGCCATCGATAACTCTATGGTTAATTTGTTACGAGGATCTTCGCCCAGAAACAGATGAAGATGAAGTCGTATCCATTATTGTTGTAACTAAGAAGCTTTATTAATTCCAAAATAAACAACGTGTTTGTTTCATATCAAAAAGTTTTGGTTAGTTCAAGAAAAAATGCTACCCCAGTAAAATCATCTGCTGAGGTAGAGTTGCAAAACTTACTAGATCACACAGCAAGCAGAATATTGGCATCACAAAAAGAGGTGATAGACTCTACTTCAAACGATCCAGACCAAAATTTAGGTAAAAGCGGTACTTCAAAGATGGAAATACCGCGAGAAACATTTAGATGAATCCTCAACGGAGCAGTAAGATATCTATTAATTATTGTTATTTGGGTATATAGCAAATAGAATTGATTTTGTCACCGTTTAGCATATACTCAAAGTAATTTTGAATTTGAAATTTTATATAAAATAAACTGATTTTATATTCTGCGCAATATTCTAAATTTATTGCACCCGCAACACAACTATTTTTAAGTTATAAGCCATTTTATTAAAAGTTAAAAATAATTCTCTCAGAGTAACTAGAAATCAATAAGTAAAATGGGACATTTAATTATTGTGCCGGTCAAAGTCCCTACACAATTTATTATTTGTTTTTTATTTATTTATTATTATTAGCAGAACAACTAGAATTAAAGTGTTCATTCATCACTTTCAGGACATAAAACCCGACTAAATATAAAAATATATATGAAATTATTACTAAGTAAGTTTGAATGTCGAGTATTTAAATAATAATAAGAAATTGTTTGTTATTGCTAAATTAGTGAAGTTGTGATATTGTTGCTTAAAATGGTTCTACCAGTCGATTTTCGTTTTTTCTAGTTTGACATAAAATTTAAGGTAAGAACAATATAAGGCAGACTGATTATTGTTCGGTTTTATTGCTAAAGCTTTCGTAAAATGTTTGAATTCATTTCATTCTCACCGTACTTCTATACATCTATTATAACGATTTTCATCCGATAACGAATCTCATATTCCAACATTTCACGATTTACCGTTAATGAAACGCCATGTATATAAAATTTATGGAACTTCTTATTGTTCCGAATTAGGTCATAAACAAAAATCATTTTCAATTTTATATGTATATATTAACTTGTCATTTTTAACGATAGATGCTTCTAACAATTCAGTATATATTGTATATAATATAATTATATAAGAATAAGAATATATATATATATATATATATATATATGTGTGGGTATATAAATATGATTATAACAATTCTCCATGTAAAATAATTATTAATAATAATATAGAACGTATATACGTATAGAAATAACAATAACATTAAAATAACAATACCTAGCATAACACATCACACTTTTACAAATTGTGATAGTTATGCGTAGTCATCTGGTAATGAACGTGTTGCTGCAAATTAATGTAGTCTACCGAATGAGGGTAACACTGCGGATAACCGACGCTCACCATTTGACCGTGAACATATTCCTGATACTCCGGTCCCGGATAGTATCCCGGATAACGAATCGGCATGCCCGTGACGTTCATTAGAGGAATGCGCGTCGCATCGTTGGCTCTCCTCCTCAATTTCCCCGTGGTTTCGCCAATGAAAACGTCGTCAGCCGATGGATCGACCATCCAATAGTTTCCCTTGCCCGGATCGTCGAACGACCTCGGCACTTTGATAAAGTATTTGCTCAAGCTCAGGTTATGCCTGATTGTGTTTTGCCATCCTTGTTGATTCTCCTGGAAATACGGAAAATTTTTCGTGATGTACTCGTAGATCCCTTTCAGCGTCAACTTCTTATCTGGGCTATTACGAATGGCCATCATGATCAAAGCGTTGTAGCTGAACGGTGGCTTCTGGTTTCTTGGCTCTTGGTTTTCTTTGTCCGCGCACATGACCGGCTCCGCTAGAATCGATTCTATCGAAAATGGGGTCTTGCACGCAGACATGGTTTCGTTTACCGGTCAAGTTGAATCTTCGCCAACGCTATCGACAATGACGTCTATTGCTCAAAGGTGTGTGTTTTAAATACATTGGTTTTAATGTCTCCTCCTTAATGGTATATTAATCCAAATAATCCTATATTGTTGGGCAGCATTTTATATCCTTATTAACTTGACGCGTTGTGGTCAAAAGCTTAATATAAATGGGGTAAAGTTAATTGCTGTCGTTAAGGTGGCACCAACAGGTCAGACGTATTTGCTATGATCTTGGCAAACGATTTGTAAAAAGAAAGTTTCATAATAAAAAGAAAACGAATGGCGAGCATTAAAATGATTTTTAAAATTTAAAAATTCTCGGTAGGATTTGTTCATTGAAAACAAAATGTTTTCTTAAATACGTACTATAGACAGTCGATATGTTTTACTTTTACAAAAAAAAACTTGTGACTGTAGACAAAAGTACAACACGGTTAGTTACAACCAAAGAGAAAAAAAACGCAACCGAAAAACCTCTATATATTATTTATAAAATTATGATGAGTAATGTTATTTGTAAACAAGCCTGAACTATTTCTTTACAATTAAACCCGTTGTTAAGAGATCCTATATTGTTTTACCTATATGGCATAACTATTTCAATAAATATAAATGAAACAAAAAAAAACTTAAGAGTTTTTTATTCATAGATACGCTCATTGATACTCATCATAGCAAATTGCAAAACATAATAATCTTACAGTGACTAAATATTACTTCCGATTATAAAAAATAATTGATAATATTATTCCTAATTCAAAAATACCATTGTTATCGTAGTAGTAGTAGTATTCTAGTTTTGGAATTAAGTGTGTTTCTAATTTATAGAAATCCATTTCTTTTTAGAAATTAATAAAACTCCCCAGAAAAACTTCTGAAATACTTTTAGGATTTCGATTTATTAAAGTCGATGAACCTGTCAAACAAACAGAGGTAGCCTCCATTTTGGTGGGTGCTATAGGTTCAAAAGAATAATTTGCTTTAATAAATGTTAAAGTTTCTTTCACCGCTAGAAAAAAGAGTTTTTGCATTTATTACATCTGCAGAAGTGAGTCGTTTAGATCTTCGATAACCTTTTTAACTAATTCAAAGTTGTCGGCATAAAATATGGCAGTGGCTAACCAAGTTCCCAGCGAGTTATTACTCTACTATACTCTACTATATTATTATTGAACAATTTTTTCTATCAAAGTGAACAGTGCTTTCAAAAAAAAATTTTTTTATTTGAAATGAATAATTAAATCATTTACCAATATATATACATACATATATACATTATATATACATTATGCCGCCCTATGGATACCACGAGAAAAAGAAGTAACATAAAATAGGTTATAATAAAATGTTTTTAAATTTTGTGCTGCCTGAACCATATTAGGTGCAACAAATGCAACAAATATGGAATAGGAATATGACATTTTCTGTCGGAAAACTGTTGGCCAGAAAGAGTTAGTTAATGTTTCTTGAACAAATCTGGTTGTACTTAATTTGTTAGTTTTTTTCCAATTGTTTGGATGCTCAATTCACGTCATTTACAGTGGTTGTAAATTGCTTGTAAATGTCATCAACACTAACTTTACGTATAGCTGGCGTCCGGCAATACAAACGACTCCAATTTAATGAAAATTTAATTTATAAATATTTATTATGGATCAAAAAATGCGCTAATAATATCAATAATATATTCAGTTCGGTGGTTGAAAGATCTGTAATCAACCGCAGTTAATTTTTTTTTATAATTTGTTTAGGAATTCACAACGAAGTAGTCACTTTGATGATTTTTGAATTGCACGTTTCGTTTTCGAGCTCCGTTCCATTAACTGTATTTGTCTCAGTTCTCATTTCTAAATGAAAATATTTTACAGGATACCATTTTATATTTTCGAACTTTTATTTTCATTAAGTTTTTTTTATTATTTATTTTTTTTACTTATTCCTCAAAGGCTTCTTCGTTTCGAAATAATTATTAATAAAGTAATCGCATTTTCTTTTACATAGAACCGTAGAAAATTTATCAATGGTTGGTTAACCAAATAGATACCGTGGAAGCAACATAGCAACGACAATTATTTAATACTATTTACAAATCTTCTTTATTCCTACTTGCCGATTTTTTATAAATCAGCAAGATGATTAGTATTGCGGTAGCCTGTGGAAGAAAAAAATAAAAAACACAATTATTTAGAGTTGTAAATAAAGATTTATGAGAATATTTGTTTACGTTATTTTCTAATAAAAAATTAATAAATAGGCCAGTTTTATCTTTCGCTTTCAGCTAAAATACCAAAATAAAGCAACCCGAAACATTTGAAAATGCATTGACAGAAAGTTTTTAAAATGGTACATGCGCGTTATTGGTAATGTAAAAATAAATGACAAATGTAAAAATAATATTTGAAACGTTTCAATTTTTCCTATGGAGCTCTCAACATGATCTTTTTAATGTATTGCGATCTTGACATCAGATTCTAATTCTTTTCACTTCCGCAAATATGGAAAATCTACATTTTGTTAAAAAATATCCCATAATATTTCGAGAAGCCCTGACGTCATTACAACGAAAACTGGTCGGACCTGTCTGATGTAAAAATGTTATTACAAATTTGAAAAGAACTGTGATGTAAAAAATTGAAAAAATTAGTATTTCTAGACTAGAATTTTAGTTCTGTTAAAAAAAGGATATTTTATGAAACAATAGAGTTTTGGTTATTCTTGTTTAAAATAAAACAAATAAAATAGGGAAAGTTTACTTTTTCATACATATTCCCACTTAATTATAATAAACTTGTTGGTAATATTTGTGTGTATTAACAAAATATGTCAAAACACGTATTTTTTCGTATTTCTCACTTTTGCTTTTACGTACTTGAAAAAAAAAGTGATACTCTTATATCCGCCTATGACTTATTTATCCGTGTTTTGCCGAAACGAGTATTTTTCCTGTTAAAAGCAGATGTGACACAAACTAGCCTATTGTAATGTCGTCCGTGCCAGATGATAACTTAACCTGACAATTATCACGTCTTTTGAGTGCGTACGCCCTCGATATATAGACCTAATTCTCTAACAAAGACTCTATTTAATACCTATAGGACAGCCATTGGCGCGAATTTTTATTAATGCCTTTCACAGATGAACATAAAAAAACTCTTTTACGACGTCTAGCGCTCCAGCTGGGTCACCAAATTGCGGCTTTACTAGCCTACCTCCGGTTGACGAGAAATTTATAAAAATCAGGGAATTCTTAAAATTATTTTAATAATACTACCAGGAGGAATAATTTATCTACCTGGGGATTAAATAAGCAACTCAACAGGTAATTCATAACGAATTATTAGGGTACTTTTATTGACACCACAATGAAAATGGAGAGTACAGTTAATGACTAAGACCTTATAAGAAATATCGCAGACCGCTGGGCGTCCTTATGCGGTCGAATGCTAATTGTTAATATACAGGGTGTTCAGCGCTCTATGGGTGACACTTATCAATAGAAGTCCAATCAATACTATATATAATGGACTGCAAAACCCGAGTTCAAGTTTAGCTTCGCGGTTTTTGACAAATGGATACGAAAACTTGAATATACCACAAAAGTCAAAATAGAAATAGATCGGATTTTTTTTAATATATACAAAATATACAGGATCTTTCAAAACAAATGCAAAAAACTCAAGGGGATCAAAAGCCAACCATTAGGGAGATGTCACTACAAATATGGAGGTTAATTTTTTTATATTAAAAACGAAAATAGATGAAACAGTAAAATATAACGGAAGTATTACTATTATAACAACATGCTTTCTGCATATTTTTTAAGTATTTTTATTTGTTTTAAACGAGTGCAAGGGATTGAATAAATTATATAATAATAATAATTCTAACTTAATTTAATGACGCAATTTTTAGAAAAATAATTTAGATGGGTGCTGGAGAACAGTTGTATTCTGTAATAAAATTTATCAATTGTCTTCTAAAAATTGATCTATTAATAAAGTAAGAAACATATTTTTGTTATGTCATTGCATTAAAAAAAATATGCAGAAAGAGTGTTTTTATAATAGTAATATTCCCGCAATATGTTATTTCCCTATCTATCTATAAAAAATAAAATTACTATTTTCCGCCATATTTATATCTCCTTAGTGGTCGGCTTTTTACCAAACGTTTATATAGCAAACTAGTCTATATTTTAAGCTATCCACATCTGTTTTGAAACACCATGTATATTATAACTATATTACATTATATTAATTATATATTAACTTGGGTAGATTTAGCCGTAAAGTACATTAAAGAATGCCTTCGGTTGATTTTTGTTTGGATCTCCGTTACCTTGTTTTTAAAGTGAACAATTTAAGTGAGAACATCATACTGTGATAAAATATATTTATGGTTTAATAAAACTGACCAAATCAAAAAATTTCCCCAAGTCTATTGATTAAATTATTATTAAGTTATATATATAAAAGTATAGATTATCGACAATTCTAAATGTTGTTTTTTAAAATAACCAGCTGCAGATATATATTATTGTTATTATTGAGAAGCTCATATTGTTTCCAATCAAGCCGAAACATTTTACGAGAACCGTTTATCATCTTTTCAGGGGATGCATTTTCTGTATAGCTCAAAAATGAGAAGCCATATTGAAATTTTCACAAAAATCAAACACGATATTGAAAAAAGCACTTATTTTAATCTTGATGACCTGCAAAAGTGTGCAATATAACGGGAATTCATTATTATATATTAATTTTGACTTGGCCGTGTTTCGTGTTCAAGAAACTAATTTCTAATTTGAAGGGACCTGTTATATTAATGCGTAGATGCCCTTTACTGACCAAGTTTTCATATAGGCCTCAATTTGGTCAGTATATTTGACCCAGGCAATAACGGACATCAGTTAACCCAAAGGCAGGATGAACTGCGGGTAATTTTAATAACGCATTTATGAATTCCATTCA